TTACCAAATAAAGCTGTCTTTAATTAAGTTTACTGTAAATGATCTTTGGTACACCATGACATGAAATGGTGATGTATGTTACCATATGACTGGTGAAGGCTTGATAGCCATCCGCCAAGTTTCAACACCTATAATTTGTAAAATGTCTTTCGGCACCAATTGATTGGCCTAACCAACTGACTGGTTAGCATCTACATTTAAGGAAATCATTTAAAAATGTAATTGTATTATTTTTTTTAAACTTTTCGTCTACTGTATTGTTGTCCTTGGTGCTACTGTCACTGGAAAAACGGAGCTGTATGCAGTGATGTTGGGTTTATAGCCGGTAGAAAAGCAAACCAGACCCTAGAATATTTGCAAGTCGAGCCAACTCTGAACCAGCAACAGCCCAGAACTAGCCCCCTGTTCATGTGTATGGAGAGAGACTAACAGAGTCGGATCTCATCTTTAAAAATACGCTCACATTTCCCATTTCAGAAAGAGTGATACAATGTATTGTCTGTCTAAAGTGGCACATTTATTTCTTGGTGCAGAAAAAATTATAATTAATCTCATATTCATTATGAAGAGAAATCCACTTGTTCTCTATGAGAATAATCAGGAACTAGTTCCCTGGTAGAGTGGCTCAATGGTGCTTAACAGATGACTGGAAATAACGGCATACTTCTCTGTGTGGACTGAAAATAGTCTTGTGTAATTTTAAAGTAACTTTGAAAAGAATGTGAACATGTGTAAATGCTCTAAATGGAAACTCTTGAGGAATGGAATTTGGATATAACCATTGCAGATGTCTGGGTGTCTCACTGTCAGTGAAAACTGAATTAGTCTTTTGAGAGGACATGCTTTCACAGTTGCAAGAGCAGGCCCTGGTTTTTCTGGCACCACAGTGTGACATTACATGGCCCTTGTCCCTTCCCCCCACTCGGTTGTGCACGCAGGCAGCGAATGCTGCATGGAGTGATTTTACTGGCTAGTGGAGTTGGTGCCCTCTCCCCCAGTTCCCAGTACCTCTGAGTGGAGGGAGGGAGGAGGGAGGGAGGAAAAGGGGTTGATCCTGCTGCTGTGTGAACACAAAGCTAGGCAGCTCACAGCCATCATGCATTCATGTTATTTCCCTCAGGATTTCAGTATTTTTGCTTTTGTCATATAAGACTGAGGTGGCACACTGTCTTGTCATTAATAATATAACTAGTCAATTAAATGTTTTATCAACATGTTGCTATTAGCTATATCTACATTATTTTTGGAATCCTGCATGTTGTTGTTATTAATACAATAATTGTACTCCGGGCATTTTCCATCATTTATTACTTATTTTACTGTTAAAGACAGAACGTGTTAATTTTTACTAGAAATTCCCATAAGTACAAACAAATTAATAATACATATCAGTAATTCCAATAATTCTAAGTAGTACTTTTACTTGTCAGAGTATGTGCTGCTGCCCTAGAAATGTCTGCTTATATTTATGACTGCAACTAATTTGAAGTATTTTGGATAAATATCTTGAATATTTTTACAAATATTTGTTGCATGTTTCTTCTTTCAAGTCTAAGAAAATGGTGGAAATGCTCGTCATTATTTCTTAGTATCTCAGGTGATGTCCTCAAAGTGCTTTGGACCCACACAGCAAATTCCAACAGCAATCAGTTTCTAATGACATAAAACAGAGATCAGCAATGTTGAAGTGGATTATTAAAATAACTTGGCAAGAAAAACAAACACTTTGTTAACAAAAATAGTTCTTAAATTATTTCAGAAGTGCCCCTTCCGTTTCTGATTGTGGTTGTGTGGGTGTGTCTAAGTGTGAATGTCTAATGGAGCAGTGTAATGGGAAGAAAAGGAGAAGGAGAAACATCCGTTACACTAATGAAATACAATAACTCACTTCCCCCAACGTACCCCAGCCCTGCTGTTCAGAGCTTTATAGCTGGTGATGGCGTGTAGTTCCAGCCTCTCTCCAACATCAAAAACACCCGGCACACATCGAGCTCACGTTTCACTTTGTGTGTCTTTTGTATGTGTTTAGTTGTGAAAGACCAACATGTGCTTCTGCTTGTACATTTTGAGGGTGCTACATGTTAAAGTGTGATTTGAATATATTCTGTAAGTGAGTCATCTCTGCCTGAAGGCCTCACCTTCAGGGCGATCTCTGTGGAATTTACAGCTTTGTTAGCATGACACCACACCTATTTCACATCTTGTAAAGTTGTTGTTCACATTTCTTGGTCTCTCTTGCCCATCACAGTAAAGGGGTTGGACCTTCATCCAATAATGAGGTAGCCCAAGGCCTCCACAGAATCATTTGTGTAGGCCTATCTCCCGCTCATCCTCCCATGAAAATGGGCACTCTGATTTATACCTGCAAGAGACAAGATAAGGCCTCCTGTTCGGTCCAAGGCCTCAGGGTCAAGCTGCCAAATATTCAAACAAACATTCACATGGAAGACCACATATGTGAAAAATGCAGAGGATTTACATACCTAGCGTCAGGAGTAAAATATAGTAATAATTTAGTGAACCAGTAAGATGTAGAATTTAAAACTTCCATCATAAGAGACTGACAAACAAAGATGTAGGCAGAGAGGGAACAGGACACTCCCATGAAGACCTCTGAGAAGAGCCTGTATCCTGTGTGAGTCAATAATATTGACTAAAGTTCCAAGAGGCTGGTGTGTTATGTAATCTACAACCTTGTGTGTATGAGTGAGCGTGTTTCACCTCCAGGACTGTTGCGCTGTTGATGACACATAAGCAGCAGATAGCATTGAAGATATCTGAAATGTCTTGCAGCTATTTGTCATAGGATCCAGTTCCATGAAACAGGACTCCAGTGTTTTCTTAAACGGGCTTCTGGTCATCCTGTTGTTTTTTCCATTTGGCATTATTTGCAGATACTTGAATGGTGAGGCTAAATGTGAGATAATACAATCATAAGATATGATTGATTTCTGAATGGCCCATATAAAGTTTCACACCTAATATGGATGTTCAACTAAATTCAGATATTTTTTTACTGTCAGTTGTTCAAGTCAGTGTTTTGTTTGCTGCGTGTGTGGTTTGAATACAATTTGAATTCATATTTTCAAGGTAAAGAGGTCAAAAGAAAACTGTGGACCAACTCTATATGAATGATAGTGCACCATATGATTCATCTTTAGTAAAACAACAATGACAAACAAATGTTTTTGCAGTTTTCATGTAAGCTGCTATTTTCCTAAAAATGACTAGTTGAATAAATCACTTGTCATATAATCGCCACTGGAGCGGCTTCATTGAAGTGCGTGTCGCTGATCTCAGACTTGGAACAATTATGAGTCAGTCCTTCATCAAAATCCATCTTATTCTTGCGCCATCAATCTGCATGTCCCTCAGCCTTGTGTCCATCATCTTCCTCCTCCACTCCAACCCAGCTGCATTCCTCGCTTTTGTGTGTGCCGTCCCCCTGGAATTTCGGAGATGTCAGCGGGGGAGGGAAGGGACAGGAAGGCAGAGGAGAGGAGGGCATTGAGTGACAGAGCGGTGCAGAGACTGTAATTGAAGACAAAGCTCAGCAGAAGGAGGGACAGTAAGAAAAGGCCCCAGAAGGACGTTGAGCCTAAGGCAGAAAGGATGAAATCAGTTAAAGGGGGAGGTGTGTGTGTGTGTGTGTGTAGGTGGGTGTGTGTGTGTCTCATTAGATTATGCCGCTCCCCAGGGGAACAACCAATATTGATGGATTGATTGGGGGCCCCTCCCCATCCACTCAGGTCTCCTGCTATTGGAAACCATTGATCTGGTATCTCTTTGGGATATGACGCCCAGTGCATATTTAATTAACTGTACAACCAATCAGGATTCAGACAAGGGGGTTTAAAGCAAAGCTCAGTTTTTAGCACCAAAGGTTAAATGACATTTTCCCTTCCTATCCCGAGAGACAGGGGGATGTTTTCGACAACCGTGGTCAGAGCTGCTTCACTTTACCTGCCATGTATGTATCATTGCACATATAGGAGCACACGTTTCAAACAATACTTACACTTTAATAAACATGCAATAACATGTGAAATCTCAGCAATCATGAAACTATTGCCAATTTGATTGTAGTAAAAAAAAAAGATCTAAAAAATGTGAAGTGGGAGTAAAATCCCTTTACGACCCTCATCCTCAGATGTTAAAGGGATTCTCCAGGATGGGTATTGATCTAGTTTTGTTGGCCTTTGGGTCGTTTTTGCTTCTTCTGGCGCTTTGTTTTGGAAGAGAAATGCTCTCTGGGGTGCTGAGCTCTGTGTGAGCCTCCCTGGTAACACATGCATATGGATGAGTTGTTTATCATTCATGGCCTTTTCTCTTTAATTAGCTTTGTGTGACCTGCAACAATGGAGCATATCAACTTTCGCCGAGCTGAATTGTTCTGCTTAGTCATAGGAATAAGTAGAAACACGACAGATTTCTTCTTTGCTTTGCCACATTGTTACAGGTCTATATGGTAACAGTAACTGTTGTCTATAGGCGTGTGAAAAAAGCAGGGTCATATTTACTGGTGTTTTTGGGCTCAGTTTGGCATTTGTTAATTTTATTTGGATCCACATTAGTCTCCACCACAGCAGATGCTAGTCTTCTTGAATGTTGAATTTGAAATGCTGCAGTTTATTAACCCAACACAGTGACTCTTGAACTGTCTATGTAGCCTTCAAACATTTACATATAGTCAGTAAGTTAAAAAAAAAGACTTGCCATTTTATTATTTACATGGGAAGTGATTACAGCTCAGTTCAAGCACCACTTTCAGAGAGAGAAATAATCCAAATAATGAGTCAGCTTTAGATGCATCAAACATCCTTGTTATTTATTTATTTGTCACTGTGTCAAAACAGTGTTGAAGCGTTATATATGAAGTTCAGCTGGATCCGTAGTTTGAACCCTTATTTGTGTTTTTCTCTCCATAACAGCGGGTGTAAGTTCAGTTTGCACTCTTCTGACCACAGAACTAACAACTCTGTATGTGTCTGTTTTCTCAGGTGTTTCTGTTCTTCTGTGAAACCTGCTCGGTGCCTATCTGCAGGGAGTGCAGTGTGGGTCGTCATATGGGCCACACTTTTGTTTACCTGCAAGACGCTGTGCAGGACTGCAGGGCCATTACCATCCAACTGCTGTCAGATGCACAGCAAGGACGACAAGCAGTGCAGGTGAGACGGGAACCGTAGCAGGCACATTTAGGAGGGATAAAAAGGGAGGACGACTTTATTCATTGATTTTTTTATTTTTATTTTCTTTGTGTCCCGTCACCCAGAGAGCAGTATTGTGACACATATAAAAGCTGCACTGCACTCAGTGTTGTGTTGGGCATAATACTGAGTATTGCAGTGTTTCTAATTAGGAGATAATCAATTCAAGGGAACAAGGCCAGATGTTCTTTATGCCTGCATCAAAAGGTCTTGTATTATTCCACAGGACTCAAATAGACCAAACTGATTAGAGTCTAAACTCAACTAAACCAAGAACTCCCATTCAAGACTCTCCTACTTTGACAAAAAAGGCAGTCCTTATGAAGATTAAAGTATGCAAATCCACACTCATCCATCTCCTAGAAAGGCTGAGTATGAAACTGTGGAGAGCAGCTGTGTCCATCGCCCCTCGGCACAGAGCGACCAGCTATTTAAATATGTTTGAAAAGTGACCACTCCTTGGCTGCTGGGAAGCCAGAGGTTAGAGGTGTCCAGCTGGCCCTAAAAGGGGGTGGGTCGCATGGGATGAGCTCTGGCGGGGGCAGGGCTGAAGGTCAAAGGGGAGGAGGACTGGAGAGGAGGATGGGGGAGGGTAGATGAGGTATTTAAAGGATTTCAGAGAAAGGAAAACTCCCCTCCTCTTTTAAAGAAGTGGAACACTTTGCCCTCCCCCTATTCACTCCCCCATTCATTCACTCACTTCCCCCACTTCTTACTCTCACTCCCATACACAACACGCACGTATGCACATACACACTGCTTCTCTTCATTTACACAATTCTAGATTGGGTGGCAGCTTCCTACACCCCTTTAGTTTCCCTCTTAGATAATGACACATTTATGAGTGAAAGACGGATTAGTGGCTTCTCTCTGTATGATAACTGCATGAAGAGTCTTTTTTAGGACCAGATAAATTGCATTTGGTATCACAAGGACTGGATGAAATGTATGTACACAATGTAAATAAATATACATTAGGATAAAGAAATTATCTCACCTTTACACACCAAGGCACCCAGAGTGGCTGACCTGGGCCAGGTATCACCAGGTAGGGACCCCAAAGCAGCCCCCATGCTCTCCCTGACATTGAGTCCATCAGCCCTGGGAGCAGACCACCAAGAGAGTGTAGCTTAGGTTAAGGTGGTGTTGAGGTGTAGCCACGGACTAGCCTGGCTCAGAAGGCCTGCATGGAAGGCACAGGGACAGCGATGGAGGGCATAAAGGCTCCATTGTCAAAGAATATGATGGACTGTTAGTGGCCCAGGAAAGAACACATTTGGGTTTGTTAATGCAACCAAACCTAGTGTCTGAGCTAAAAGAAATGCTTTTGATAGTTATTGGTAAAACAATTAGTTCAGTGATTAGTAAACTGACAGAAAACCAATTTCCTCCAAATGGGATAAGCAGTTAAATGTATTAATGTTGTCATTCATAAAGGACAAATGCCAAACAGCAGGGTAACGCTTCTTAAGTGGAAAGAATTCCTGTTTCTCTCTCTGTTACATCACAATCACGACTGTCACAGTCAAAAGAAAAGGTCCCTGCATATTAAGCTGTTATACTGGGTCTTTCAGTGGGGGGGTGTTTGTAAGATTCACTGTGTGAAATGCACCTGATCAAACTCGGCAATGGTTGTTATTTTGGGGGGGGGAAAAAATCAATGAAACTTGTGAGTCATCAACAAACCAACATGAATTCTGCCAAATAATTTTGGATCAAACTACATAGGCAGTGTTTGAATTAATTCAAACGTAATTTCAAGCAATTGATATGTTTGGTCAATTTGTTCAAACATGATCTTTGTATAGTCTTGAACACTGGAAAATTCCAATGGCCTTTTCCCTCTAGTTTCTCATATTTTATTAACCACACAATGAAAAAATCAGCCAATAATAAATTAATATTTTCTTTAGTCACAAAAAGATAAATGTATCGATTAGCTGTTGGTTCTAAATCAACTACAGATAACAGTAATCAGTCAGACACACCAGTGTTATCTTATTTGCCTTGAAGGCGGGGCAGTGTTGTGACCTTGGTAAATACTTGCCCAAAACATGAAACACTAGCTGTTTTGCTGAGGTCATATGACATGCTGGCATGTGCTATCTCCTCAGCAGAGCTTGTGCCTCACCTATCCATTTCTCAGCTTGACCTTTGTTTGACTGGGTCATACTTTGTACCAGTGGATGGCTGCTTATGTCACTCTGGGTGTTCTTGAAATTCCCAGATACTACCACACGATTCTGCTCAACTCCCAGCCACATTCAGCGGAGTCAGAATTTGAATTTGGGTTCGACAGCACATTTTAGGTATCATATCAACAAGCCCATATTTTATTTAATGGAAAGCACCAGGAAGCATGCAGCTGAGTCATAAGATACACCACCTACCAGCTGGCAGTATCTTGTGCTGTAGGTCACCACGGGAGTAAATGCTGACGCCAGATAATATGTAAACACGCATACACACCACACACACGCTCCTGTCCCCTGAGATAGGAAATTTCCGCCCACTCTACACCCATTATCTTCCCTGACCCCTGACCCTGGACTTGTGACCTCCTGGTTGGCCAGAGCTCCCTGCCTCTACCGTTTGATTGGTTAGTTTTACTCTCTTTGTGTTCCAAGCTGTGCTCCTCTGGGAATGTGGAGAGAAATGTGGAAAATGATGGAGACTCACTGACGAGGTGGGAGAGACAAATCGTGAGACCTAGTAGGAGAAGATAGAAAATGAGAAAAAGAGAGACTTAGCTGGAGACGGTCAGATAAAGAAAGGAGAAGAAATAGTGGAGAAGAATCAATTGCATAGAAGAACTCTCGGATAATAAAAATACAGAGACAGATAGCGAGATGTGTTTAAATTGACCGTGGTTCCTTCTTTGCTATACTGATGAGGGTCCTGCCCTGATTCCTCCTGGATTCTCCGCCTGCTGTTCCCTCTCAGGGGGCCTGATTTAATTGACCCTTTAGCTGGCCATCGCAAATGGCCAGAGAAAAGGATCCCGCTGCAAGGCTTTGTTCCTGCAGGGGTGCAGTGGGGGTGGGCAGTATGTATCTTAAGACAGCGGCTGCAGATTACGACCTGTAGAGGTTTAGGTGACCTTTGATCTTTACAGCCAAAATCACAAAGGAAGCCTTATCCCACCTCCCCTTTGTCCCTGTGAGGTCCGGTTCACCCTGTGACCTCCTCCCAGAAAACGCCAGAGGAAAAGCCAGATAAAACTCGTGGGGTGGGGGGGTCAGACAGAAAAATGTGCATTCAGCCCAAATTCTGTTGTAAATGCTAACATGGCAGAACCTTTATTTGACAAATTTACTTTTGAGTGCAGGATTCTAAAACAGTGTGTTTATTTCATTTTACAGTTTGTGTAAAACTTATTTATCGAGTACCATGCTGTCAAAAGAGACCTCTGTTTAATAAATAACCAGATGTCTACATGTGGCCTTATAATATCATTTTTTTAATTAAAAAAAAAAAAAGCGATCATGCAATACTGGAGTTTTGGTACTGGTGCAGTATTTTTTCAGTATGTTGGTTTTTATTTCACATGTGAATATAAACTTTTTCCACACAACAAAATATGCTCAACTGCTTAGTGTTTAAAAAAAAAAAGCTTTAATACAATACAGTCTAAAAGTTAGAATAGTTGTTGAAATAATATCGTCAAAGGATAAACAAGCAAGACTAAGAATCTCATCAAGCATGCAGTTCAATACTTGACACTTTCCTGTACTTAGTTTTATGAACACACAGGAAAAACTACTTCTCTCATGTTTAGAAATGTTAAGACGCACACTTAAAATAAGAGAAGAGGAAAATAGGCCAGTCCAGCAGGAAGTTGCATCATTTTGTTCAGTGTGAAGTGACTTCCTATTCCTGACCCATGTTTCCTTTTTCCTTTTAAATGAGCCACCAATTGTGACAAAGGAATAGCTGACAAAAACCAAGCAGGTGTTTCTGCATTGACTTGCCAGGAAGATGTCACATACAGTGTCCTTTGTTTTAATGTTTCCTGATCCTCTGTATCCTGTTTCTGGGGGTCATCAGAATCCCATCTGTGCAATAAAACAGATCAGGAGATGGTGTCATTTAGACATTTCTGGCTGGTCATTTGTCACAATGCAGAGTGAGAGTTAAAAGTGTAAATTTGCTCGTCCACACATCAGTTTTCATTGCTAGTGGTGTTTTTTTTTTGTTTTTTGTTTTTTTAAAAAGTGTCCTCTCACGTGAATAAGACCAAATCTTTTTTGTTTTGTGTTTCCAGCTAAGCATGGAGAAGGTCCAGGCCATGGCAGAGCAGGTGGAGATCAAGGCTAAGGTGGTACAAACTGAAGTGAAGGCCCTTGTCCTGAGACACAAGAAGGCGTTGGAGGAGAGGGAGTGTGAACTACTGTGGAAGGTGAGTTGCTGCCTTCTTATTCATCAGCTTTACCAACCAATTTCAGGTTTGTTCGGGCCTGAAGCTGCCAACATTCGAGTCAGTTTGGCACGACTGGCCAACTACAGCTGTGTTTCCATATGATTGTCAAGCTAGTTTGAAGCAAACTTTGGATAATGCGTATCAGTGTATTTTCATTAACTGCATTCAAGTGAATAAACTAGGTTTTGTAGTATCAGAAGGTAGTGGTATAGGCTACATTACACATGGCTATAATAAAGTTTAATGTCTGTTGTTTTTTTGGGGGTTTTTGTGTGTTTTTTTCAGGGCCAGTATTAATTATTAGTAGTCAAGATCGGCCGATAACTGATATTTGAATCCGACATACATTAAAAGTTATTTATTAACAGCATGTGATAGGAAGGAACCCGTTATTCATTACTCAACTACTTCAGCCAAAAGGATTACTATTACTGAATTTATACAAATGTACATTCAATATTATATATTAAAAGTGTGTGACAGCAGGGGACCTGTCATTTAGAGCTCAGCTACTTCATTAAGGATTCCTGTAACTGAATATTTACAAAAGAAATTGGAATGATGATGTTTACATGTCACGTGACACTTGAACGTTCTGCTGATCAATTTATCTACATCAATAAGTTTTCCTCCTGCAGTTATATGTGCTGTTATTCTCTGTTTTGTTAATCTTTTTGCAATCTGTCACTTTTATTGCTCACTAAGGCTCATATTTTTGAGCATTGTTTACTGTTTTCCAAACTGTGTTTCAGTTTAATCTGTGGCTGCCTCCTGATTTTCCTGCTAGCCGTTAGTCTAGCCTTAGCCACTGTAAAAGCAGCAAATATCCTGATTTATGGAGATGGCTGTGCGTCATGTTCAGTTTTTGCGGGTGATGTCTCTGTCAGTTCGTCTGTCAGTCAGTTAGAACAGTGTTATTCTGACTTTCCAAGTGTTATGTTGTGCTAATGTTAAGGTGTTTCAGACAGCATTAGCTGCAGGATAAGACGCACAGCAAACCTTTGAGCAATAGCATTAGCCTCGCACCGTCTGCACCACTTGTTAACACCAACAGGTGAATTATTGGGGTCTTTCTGTTTAACACGATAAACGCTTGTGGAAGACTGAAGTGTTTATTCTGCTGCCTCACCTTCCACATACAGCTTCGCTGTTTCACGGCGGGTCTCTGCTCTGCAAATGCGCACTCATGCGCTCATGGCGCACGCGCAAGCTCGTGTAATCAATAGTTGTGATTGGCTGTTGTTCATGACCCGTAGCAGCCAATCAGATAGCGCTGTGGGCGGGACATTGGTTGAGACGACAGTGACTGTAGAGCGAGGAGGCTGAATACGAGCCAAAGAAACATGTATTTGTTTTGCGATAGTCGTCTAATGTAGATAACGATGTCTATTATCTAAAACTTGCTGATTAGTCATATGAGTTAAATGTTTGTTACATTGTAACTTATTTGAAAAAGACGTATTACTAATGAGGAACATTAACTCTTTTTTTTTTTTTTTTTGCAAAAAGTCAGACAACACCTCGAGTGAGTGTAAAAAGGTCTTTGTGAATTTTTTTTATTTTTTAAAATAAATTTAGCCATTTTCATTACCCATCTAATATGATTATTTGTAATGTGCATAAAACTACATAATGGAAACTAGGCTTATCAGGCACAATATTTTTTCTTTTCATGCAGCTACGAATGCAATATATTAATATGATATTGGCAAGGATTCCAGAGTACTGTTGGTTTTCTCACTGCAGACATGTTACTAATATTCAAATGACAGTGTATATGTTAAATGCATTATTGGTTGTGAAAGAATAAAAACTTAACACTCTTAAGCTCCATGAAGTAGGCGTTACTGTAAGCTTGTTGATTAAATTTAGTTTGAGGTATAATTACTTACAGTCAGCATGAAAATTAAGATGTATGCTTTTACAGCAGGGCAAATAGGGTACTTGTCATGATTGGTTGATGATTTTGTTTAGTTTCAAAGAGGCAGCTGTGAACTTGGAAGTCTTGCCTAAAGCCTGGACTTCAGAAAGGTCTTTGCAGGTTTAAGGTTACCCACTGAGGGAGAGAGTTTTTGGCCAAAAGAATGATCAGCCCTGGATAGCTGTACTTTCCATTTACCTGGAACGTTTGGGGAAAAAATTGCATAACAGCATAAAATGGCATAAAACGAAGACTGTATCACATGCACACAATTGTTCTAGCCACACACATAAAAACACACAAACTCCATGTTTACCAAGTATGGTTTATACAACTGCAAGCTGATAGTTAGCGTATTTGATACTTGGCCTGACGGAGCATGACTATTAATTTAGTGTAACACACCCAAGTACTAAACTCTTATTTCTACCCACACCGTCATGACAGGTTCAGTGATACTGTAAAAACTGACCCGTGCCTTTAGATCTTGCAGCTNTTTTTTTTTTTTTGCAAAAAGTCAGACAACACCTCGAGTGAGTGTAAAAAGGTCTTTGTGAATTTTTAAATTTTTTAAATAAAGCCATTTTCATTACCCATCTAATATGATTATTTGTAATGTGCATAAAACTACATAATGGAAACTAGGCTTATCAGGCACAATATTTTTTCTTTTCATGCAGCTACGAATGCAATATATTAATATGATATTGGCAAGGATTCCAGAGTACTGTTGGTTTTCTCACTGCAGACATGTTACTAATATTCAAATGACAGTGTATATGTTAAACGCATTATTGGTTGTGAAAGAATAAAAACTTAACACTCTTAAGCTCCATGAAGTAGGCGTTACTGTAAGCTTGTTGATTAGATTTAGTTTGAGGTATAATTACTTACAGTCAGCATGAAAATTAAGATGTGTGCTTTTACAGCAGGGCAAATAGGGTACTTGTCATGATTGGTTGATGATTTTGTTTAGTTTCAAAGAGGCAGCTGTGAACTTGGAAGTCTTGCCTAAAGCCTGGACTTCAGAAAGGTCTTTGCAGGTTTAAGGTTACCCACTGAGGGAGAGAGTTTTTGGCCAAAACAATGATCAGCCCTGGATAACTGTACTTTCCATTTACCTGGAACGTTTGGGGAAAAAATTGCATAACAGCATAAAATGGCATAAAACGAAGACTGTCTTACATGCACACAATTGTTCTAGCCACACACATAAAAACACACAAACTCCATGTTTACCAAGTATGGTTTATACGACTGCAAGCTGATAGTTAGCGTATTTGATACTTGGCCTGACGGAGCATGACTATTAATTTAGTGTAACACACCCAAGTACTAAACTCTTATTTCTACCCACACCGTCATGACAGGTTCAGTGATACTGTAAAAACTGACCCGTGCCTTTAGATCTTGCAGCTTGTTTGTGTGTGTGTGTGTGTGTGTACGTGTATGTGCAGGTTTAAGTGTCACAAAGAGGGGGTTTTGCTTACCCGTGTTCCTTCTTTAATCCTACTTTCAAATCCACGAGACAAGCTCATCATCCCTGACCATTACAGTCAACAGTATAACACATGCACACACAGTTTCTTCTGGATTGTGTTTTTTTAAATTATTATTTCTGCTGAACCGCTCACTGTTAGACATGTTCCATGAATGCAAATGTTTTGTCTTTATATGCAAGTATGTTAATATGTTGTGAGGGAGGCAGTGTGAGGTTCTCTACTATTGTCTTTTTGTTGATGAACTACTGCTTTTATTATTTGATTTATATTGTGGAAAAAAATAATCATGAATTGATTAGTCATTATTATATTACTATAACGATTTGATATTCTGAAATCAAGACATGTGATGCTTTTTCTTTTTTATAGTCGAAACAAGATGGTCTCCTGGACTCAGAGTAATTTTTTTTAACTACATTTCTGTTCCAACTATTTTTCAGGCCTACATTAGTTCATAGTAGGGTTAGAATTAAGTATGTTTCGAGCTATTATGTATTCTGAATCTGTATTTTGCACTGAGCCTATGATTCTGTTTTGTATTTTCCTACTGAGAACAGCATACGCCCTTGAAGATAACATGGCCGGTGAGAACCGGTTTGCACACTTGGAGACAGCAGAAACTCCTCTTTTCTATTAGATACGATTGTTACTTTAGCTACACGCCGTACCAACAACATCCACACACGTTGCTTACCAAATGTCAAGGACGTGGACAGAGCACAGAAGTATGCCTGTCCACGCCATTAGTAACTGGCCAATTAAATCTTATCTATGTTCGGGGCAGGCCCAGCCCAAGAAGATATCTGTAACCTGGAACCGAAAACACTCAGTTCAGCTGGACATGAGATTCCTCTCTGTCCCTTTGAATTCCAGCGCTGCCTCACTTTACCTGTGACTGAAATAAATAAATTATACAACTGAGAACTGAAGATTTCTCCGGCTTGTTCTTGGGCTTCCAACAAAAGAATCGGGTCTAACAGTAGCTAATGACAGTAACTGTTAATCACATGCTGTAACCCTCAACTTAGTAATCACCGAAGTTGACAATCTTTAGAAACCAGTGTAACCTATGAAGCCTGTTCACCAGTATGTAGGTGTGATCATACAGCTTAATAAAGGTGCTGCGTTAGTGATGTGCTATATTAATCCACTGGCTTTCTTTACCTGCCACCTTCTCCATTTCAATCTGCTACTCTGCTGTCTTCAGCTCTTGTGTGGAAAGCTTGTAAGTTGAGATCAGCAACTTCTGAGTCATAGAAGATATTGAAAATGACTCCGCTAGTGTTTCCTGTGCTGCTAGCCGATGTGATGGTCACCTTCGGTGACAATAGTGTCAGGAAAACAGAAACTGACTCCAGGAAGGTGCTCTGGTGACTCAGCATTGCATCATGGAATGAGATACAGATTCATGGCTCTGAGATGACACAAAAGGTGCTTTAATATGATTCATTGGTGTGTCGTGGTGCTATTGTGTGAAAATGTAGGGCAGGAGTTGTGCTGGCGTGTAAAATTCTACCTTTTTAGTAGTGGTTAGATTGCAGAAAATCAAGTTCTCTTTCTGTCTTTCCTGTGTAACACTGTGAAATACACACCAACCCAGCCTTCTTCTCTTCAGTCAGTTTCTTTTTAGCTGAGAATCTAAAAGTAGGTTGTTGTGCTTCCATCAGAAAGCCCAACTTGAGTCTTTGTCCTCAGTGACTATAAAGTGTAATTCTAGTCTCACAGATGCAAATTGCCGTTTCACTTATGCCAAGGATCAACAAAAGATCCCTCTCTTCTCGACTCTTTGTTTCTTTCAGGGTCCCTCCCTACTATCAGAAGTTCCTCTAACCGTAGAGGCAGTCGGGCTATTGTGTTGTACTCTTTTTGTTAGGTGACGGTAAATAAGAGCCCAATCTCTGCTTCTCAGGTTCTATCATCTTCTTTAATCCATTATACTCCCTGACTGTAGTGTTACTTGATCTGCCTTCTCACAGTAACAGAAATGTGTTATGGTCAAGTGATGGTCAAAGAACTTTTTTTTTTTTTTTTTTTTAAACAATTTGCTGAATGTTTAAACCAACCAGCATATAAGCATACCTTTTCTTTTTTTTTTTTTTTTTAGCACTAGCCCTGGTGTCTTTTTGAATAGTGTATTTTGTATACAGTGTTGTTTCCTTGTTGTCCCCTGTGTATTATTTAGTCAAGGGGAAAAAGCAACTTACATGGTTGCTTGCAATAGATTGAGATGTTCACAGCAACCTGCTGAATGCTAGCAAGCATTACAATTGGGCTATAGCCAGGTTTTACAGTAGTCATTAGTGTTATTGCATGATAGAGCTTTACATTATAATTTCAATATCCAGTAGTGACATCACAGAATGAATCTTTTGGCTGCCAACTTTGCCTTTGCTGTTGGAATATACAAATTTGTAAATGTGGATCAGTGCCAATATCATGTGTTGAATCTGCCATTTGTTCAACAAAATCCCCCTAAACATGTGCTCTGCTTGTCTTACAACTCAGTCATGTTCTTTATCTCCTTCCAGGTGGAGAAGATCCGTCAGGTAAAAGCCAAGTCTCTGTACCTGCAGGTGGAGAAGCTCCACCAGAGTCTGACCAAGCTGGACAGCACCATCGCTGCTGTCAGTCAGGTGCTGGATGAGGGCCACCACCTTGATGTGCTGCTGGCCAGGGAGAGAATGCTCACCCAGATCCACGAACTCAAGGCCCTCAGGGGCCTGCTGCAGCCACAAGAGGACGACCGCTTCATGTTCACTCCTCCGGACCAGGTTGGCACTTAAAATATGTAGACAGATAGCAAACTAGTGGCATTAGTAATAGATGTTTTAAAATATTTTGTCAGTTTACAAATAAGCTTTATGGGTCAAAGCAACTTAACTGCTAAAACTTAAACTTAACTGCTCCTAAAATCTGGAACGATCTACCCTTGCACATCAGGCAGGCCTCCTCACTGTCTGTTTTTAAAACTAACCTCAAAACCCACTTTTATTTACCAGCTTTTAACCCAGCATGAGCCCTCGCTCTGTTATAGGTGTTTTAATTTGTTCTTTGCTGTTTTTTATTGTCGGTTTGTTTTGTTGTTTCTTTTAACCCCTCCCTCCCATGTGCAGCACTTTGTTTCAGTTGTGACTGTTCAATAGCCCTTTAGAAATTCAGTTGATTAGATTTAACTTATTTCATAATTGTTCCAACAGGCTCTGTACATAGCCATCCAGTCCATGGGCCTGATCAGCAGCGGAGCCTTTGCCCCAGTCACCAAAGCCCACGGTGAAGGTCTGAAAAGTGCGCTACGTGGCAAGCCTGCCTCCTTTACTGTGATTGGATATGATCACGATGGCGAGCCACGTCTTTCCGGCGGGGACACAGTTTCTGCAATAGTTATGTCAGTCACAGACGGTAACCTGTCTGCAGCGGATGTAACCGACCACCAGAATGGCTCGTACACTGTCAGCTACCTGCCCAAATGTGAGGGGGAGCATCTCGTGTCTGTGCTGGTGTGCAACCAACACATCCATGGCAGTCCCTTCAAGGTGATAGTGAAGTCAGGGCGAAGTTATGGCTCCCTTGGCTCCCAAGTGTCATCATTTGGATGTGAAGGGGAGGGAGATGGCCAGCTGTGTCGTCCCTGGGGCATCAGTGTTGACAAGGAGGGGTACGTGGTGGTGGCTGATCGCAGCAACAACCGCATACAGGTAGAGCACAACCATCAATCTTTGTCTCTTCACAGTCACTTTGTGGCAAACGTATGGTCATTGAGTTGGGTGTCACAAACCTTTCTTCTCTCTGAGATGTGGCAAGTTAGGTGTCCTTTTTTTTTTTTTTACTTTTTATTTATGGATAAATTAGGTCAATAAGTATAATTAAAGCTACTTTATTTTAAGAAATTTACAAAGGCTAAGCAGCTGTCTTAACGCAGTGTGACTAATGAACACCATAGAAATGTGTTTCGATTGGGCATATTAATCTTAATGCAGCAGAGTCTGATTAGCAAACATTGTGCTGTAATGTTGAAAAGCGCGTGAAACCGATTTTCTCCTTCCAGACACTTGTAAATACTCACTGTGATGTCTTGTCAGTGAAAGTTTTTTTTTTTTTAAAGATGAACGAAGAAAATGGAAAAACTTGAAGTAGCACTTCATTTAATGGAACAATCAGCATAAATTTTAGGTTTACAATATAAAGACGGCCCTAACAGTTTGCCAAACACACTCATGTGCTTGAGTGGTGCTCAACATGTGCAATACTTTCCTTGGTGGAAACCTTCGCTGTGTTTACATTAGAGTGTGTGCAACTAGTCAAACAGAAGTCTGCAGTGTGAAGTATTCTGTAAAAGCTACACCAAAATACAGCTGAGTTTGACCCTTGCAAGCGGAATCAATAAGCAGTGTTTCTCTCCTCAGATATTCAAGCCCTGTGGTGCCTTCCACCATAAGTTTGGCTCTTTGGGCTCTCGGCCTGGTCAGTTTGATCGTCCTGCTGGGGTTGCATGTGACAGTCAGAGACGAATCGTTGTGGCTGATAAGGACAATCACCGTGTGCAGGTATGAAAACCCACCCAGACATGATCCACACAGACCTGCTCAGTAGTTTTGACTAACTGCTGCACTTCTGTTATGTGCATTAGACAGTCACAGGAAAATTGCACGGAAAAAGCTGTCTAAATTCCAAAAGCCTGAAAAAAAAAGTTGGCTCCTGAAAACTCCTATATACATTTGTAAATGCATGGCTCCTTGTGCTTACTCTCCCTCCACTCCACATGTAAACATGTCGGGCTCTAAGGCATTTGCTTTGTCTGACAGGTGTTTACTTTTGAGGGCCAGTTCCTGCTGAAGTTTGGGGAAAAGGGTACCAAGAATGGGCAGTTCAACTATCCCTGGGATGTGGCTGTCAACTCTGAGGGTAAGATCCTCGTCTCCGACACCAGGAACCACCGCGTGCAGCTTTTCGCCCCTGACGGCTCCTTTCTCAATAAGTACGGCTTTGAAGGGGCCTTGTGGAAACACTTTGACTCTCCCAGAGGAGTAGCCTTTAACCACGAAGACCACCTGGTGGTGACCGACTTCAACAACCATCGGCTTTTGGTTATCCGGCCGGACTGCCAGTCAGCTCGCTTTCTGGGCTCGGAGGGCACGGGGAACGGGCAGTTTCTGCGGCCCCAAGGCGTCGCTGTGGACCAAGAGAACCGCATCATCGTGGCCGACTCCCGCAACCACCGAGTCCAAGTATTCGAGCCCAATGGAAACTTCTTATGCAAATTTGGCACACAGGGGAGTGGCTTTGGACAGATGGATCGCCCCTCCGGTGTGGCTGTGACGCCTGATGGAGTCATTGTGGTCGTTGACTTTGGAAATAATCGCATCCTCAAGTTCTAAAAAGAAGACAAAAAAAAGTCTATTTTTGCATTCTCCCACTCCGTTTGTCCTTTTTGCAGTTTTTCAGTGAAGGAAATGGAGGCGAGAGAATGAATCAGCAGAAAGGAGAAAGGAGAGCTCAAAGATGATTGAGAGCATGTTGAAATGAAGGGAAATTAAAACTATAGATTATTTTTTTCATTTTCATTGCTATTCTCCAAATCAGATATCTGTGGTATATACAATAAAGGGGACCTCTACAAATTGATAATCAGTAGAAAAAGAGCCATATTTCCCTTCCTTAGTCTCAAATGCTCTGAATTATCTCCGTCGGCTCTCCTTCAGTATACATCTCAGGGAATTTCTCACTTCTTGAAATCTTGTACCCTCTGCTCCATACCTACCTCATTTAGCTCTTTATGAATGTACTCATAGTGACTGAGCAGAGGTTTTAGTCCGTGAAGTTCTACAAAGAAGAAAAGTCTACCTCTATACTTTGTTATTTAAGAGAGACAAAAAAAATAGACTCTTCAGTTGATATTTGCACAGGATTAAAGGAATTCTTGCTGTGCATTTTGAAATATAAGTGAACCTCCTGAATGTTGTTGCTGAGACAATACTCAGACCGCTGTAGAGGCTGCATGATTTATTCTCATTAGAAGGCTTCGCTCAGAGAGGAAACTCGGGTACAGTAGTGTCCTTTCATATTTGTAGGCTAGTTAGTGTTTCGCTAATGCATCGACCCCTCGTCTCTTTGTGGCTCTGTGGAGTTTGTGGTGTCATGATCGCCTAAGAAGACTGTGTGAAGCGATGCCAAACTTGATAGAATCAAAAGTAGCTCAGGTCACCGTAGGACTGATTAGCATTAGCAGTACTTTGCAGGCTCCCCCTCTAGCTTTACTGGCTAATGCTGGTGTAATGAATTGTTTGAGAAGTACAAATATAAAGTTCATAAAATCAGCTCTAAAATGATCCCTGAAATGATTCCCAAGATAAGTCCTATAATAAAATTGTCCAAAGTATTTGATTGACCATATACCCAGCACCCAGTTGCATCTCATATGACTGGATAAACTAATGTTTTTGGTAAAAAAAAAAAAGAAAATTTGTGTTATTGCTATCCAGTCAGTTATGCAAAGAGAGCAACGTCCTCTCCAGATGAGAGAAACCACCAAAGGATTTTGGAATTGAATCTTCTAAGATCTGGATCTAATAGTCATCTTAACGTAGAGATTTAATCATTTAATTGATTGACACCTTTTTGATGAGGCATGCTGTGTGACAAAAGCCTCAGAAGTAGACACCTAATTTGGCCGTCCAGAGGACATTTACAACATCAAAAAGGCCTAAATTGCAATCCTTTGGATTTAGATTGTGGTTGAAGCTACTCCCTTTTGGCTCCTGGGGCCTAGGGTTTAGTCCAGTCCATTGAGAGGGCACCATCACTAAGCCCTGCCCTATTTATTGATGCTTGGGGTTGAGGAAACCCCTCCAGATTGAGTGCTAGTGGACCGAGTCCTCTAAAGATGGAGGTCTACAGACCAACTACTAGAGTCAACCAAAGTTAGAATTTCTGCACAGTGGCCAAGTGTAGACTTGGCAATTAAAGAAACTGAAAAGCCCCTTTAAAACATTTTCTATAATAATCATTGTTATTGAGAAGTCTAAAGTTCATAAAACTCATGGATTTGAGTTCATAGCTCTATGTTATCGTTTGAAGAGGAACCTGTGCTTGGGTCACAGATTTTTGACCGAAGGCCGAGGCCCTGGCTGTGTGAGTGAATTTTGAAAGGTCCTTTTCGCACAGATGTTTGTGTAGAGAGAAGAGGATATCTGCACCAAAGAGAAACCTTTTTCTCCCCCTCACATTTATCACCTCAGCTTATCAAACAATGCCACAGTTTTGTCAATATTAGGCGGCTCATAGGCTCAAAGTAGCATCTCAGATTAGCCTTGCTTGTACCCAGAACTAATTTCCAGAGAAAGTGATAGATACTAATTCTTTGTGGTGAAAGCATAGTGGGGTTTTGAATCCCCTTGCCTTTTGTCCAATCTGTGTCCCACTGGAAGCACTAAGACAATTAAGGTTCTGTTCGCCACTTCCTTAGCCTGGCACAGAATCTTGAGACCTATGAAAATATTCACAGACAGGCTCTCACTTCTGAGGTGAGGGCTTACTGCACATGATCAGGATTTACATCCTCATATCTCAGATATCCTTTTACCTCAACGGTCGTTTTACCTTCCTTCTTGTATACCTCGACTCCTGAATACCTCAAATATTTCACTCATAGCTACTGCGCATTTAAACATTCAAATACCTCAACTTGTTTTTCATTCTGAGTACCTCATTTTTACTGTTTTTATTTAAGCATACCTCATAGGATATTTATACCTTACACATGTACCTCTTCTTGTGTCACAGTACAGTGCATGTCCCATAGCTCTAGGACCAAAGATCATGGTACTGTTTTGAGTTGAAATTAAATTTGTATTGTGGTCATTGCTCCATAATTCAACCCCAAACTGCTTTTGGTTTGTTGAGTCTACTGTAAACTGCCTGGTAAGATATGCCTTTTATCACCAAAAAAAACAAATATTTCAGATAAAAGCATTGTGCCAAAATGATCTGTAAGAGTTCTGTGCCAAACGGAGTTGGCATTTGGACCGTGCTGTTGTAGACAACAAATGTCACTGGACCATTATATCATAAATACAAAATGTTGAATCAGAGCAGGTGACGTTAAGTCCTCGTCCTCTGATTTGATGCACTTAATAGGGCTGGGCCCCATTTATCTTTACCTCATGATGATGATGAACATGCAGATTCCACTTTTGTTACTGTGCACCAGGGGTGAGGGGAAGAGGAAACGGCTTCTTATTAAGAGTTAAGAACTTCACATGTCCGCCTTTTAAATGCACATAAATTACCTCTAACTTCAGCACAATTTTACCAATATTTCAGTGTGGATTTTGGGATGCTTGATGCTGGTTGTGAAGGACTTTGAGAGAAGTCTAAACTCAAAACATTCTGACTGCGGTTTAAACAAACACATTGGAGGATCATGTCTGATGCGTGACAAAAGGCTGGTGTTTTATTTAAGTGGAGCTGTTAGCACATGGATAGCGAGCCAGTTCGAGTCCACAGACCCCGCTGCTTCGACCGCAACTCCTAGTTTCAACCAATAAGATTGTTTTTTGCTTTTCAGTATTACTCTATTAAATGTTCATTCATGTTGCATCAGGTTTTTTTTAATTAAGATTGCAGAATTCTATCTTTAAGATCGTTAGGTCTTCACTCTTAAAGAGGAAAAACGTATTTTAAACCTTTTATTTTGTTTTTCATTTTGTTGCATGCTTTAAAAAGTCCTTGTATTATACTGATGTCTCCCAGATAGGTGTTGAAAAACTCAGATGGGGTGGGTAGCTGATTATTGGGATGGTTTTACCAAAATGTATACCCAAAGATATGTATGTGTGTGTTAGGATTGCGTTGGATGGAATTAACCTTTGACCTTTGCGATTGTATTTCCTGTTCTGTAGAGGTTCTGCAGAGCACAGCCTGTTCAGCCGGCTGCGCTTTGGTTCTTGAGGCTTGACAAGGCTGGCGTGGCCCTCGACCATTAGTGCTTCATTTTCTTTAACTCCCTCTGAACTTCATAATATGGGTAGGCAAATTCACAAGACTGTTTTTCACACTGAAGCCCTGTAACTTTAGGAGGTTAAAGCTTACTGCTACACATCGATTTTCCATAAGGCCGCCATTTTTCGTTGGGTCTTGTAATGGGGGAGCTCGGGCTGCGTTCCAGATCGCATACTTTGTGTTTTTCCCATTCAGCTGCCATAACAGAGTACGCACTGTTTACTTCAGTATACATACTACTTTGCTGTAATATTGCGCCTTAAACTTTGACCATCGCAGTCTGTGATGCAACATGAGCTGCCATCTGTCTGTGCACTCTTAGCGACTCAAGCCTGCTTATACTGGTGTGAGACACTGTGATGTGTGTGACAGAACTGCACAGTGGATTGTGGGTCAGAATGGCCAGAAAAGCTTGTTGGTCTGCATACTTAAAAATATGGCCGGATGCAGGAGGGCTGCCTGGTTTGTTTGGCACACTGCATTTGAGAGTAATATGTGTCATAGTAATCTTTTTCTGGCACACGACACAGTTTGGAAGTATGGATACTGGAACGCACCCCAGGTTTCTCCAGCACAAACTAGCAATCATCTCCCTTCCTTGAAAACCAGGAAGTGTGGCGATGGCTGCTTAGCACGTGATCATTTGACTGCACTCCTGCTTGTCGGGCTTTTTATTTTTTTTTATTTTTATTTTTTTAAAAATCCTTTATTGGGCCTCTGTGGTTTTTGTCCACCATTTTATTTCTGGCCTCTCACAACTTTAAGAGAGAGAATAAAGCAAAGCTGCACCAGGCGACATGTGCAAGGTCATAGACCTCCTTTTAAATGATTGTATACTCGTAAGAAAGAAGAAAAAAAAAAAGGTGGGAAAATTTAGAAAGGAAAAAAAAAATTAAAACTCAGGTAGTTCTCAGCAGCGCTATGCTGCAGGTGTCTCATTGAAATTTGTCCCGTAGTGATGATGTAGTGACTTTTTTTCCCCTGTTATGACCTCTCAGTACTAGTCTGATTCTTTTGTGTGTCCATTTACATATTATAAAACAAATTATTTCTCAATCTGAAAAAAATAATGCTTTCAATTAGTTTCCCCTGATTTATCTTTCTTTTTTTCTTTTCTTTTCTTTTTTTTTTTTAGCCAAGTTTTGTTTTTTGTTTTACAAAAAAAAGTACAAATACTTCACACCACTTGATGCTCATTGGCCCTTTTAGAATGTATTTTGTGAAGAAAAGGGTTCAATGGGATCTTGTTGATGCTCACTCGCTACCGCCAGCCGCTGCAAACATTACAAAACAGAACAGAGACCACAGAAAATCTCCTGACATTTGATGCTCCACAACAGCGATACTTTTGCGTTTTAGATGGAAACACATGGCTGTGGTGGAACATACCGTGTTTGTTTATAAACCAGCTTTAACATCAGCCTCGGTGGAAGGTATTTGGCCTGAGCTAGCTCATTTGTGTCCTGTTCTCCTGGCAGCAGGTTGCGTAGAGAGTGGGCGTTGTGTTTGTGCGCTGCATCTGTGTTGTTTAAGCAGAAATCCACTGAATGTATCCTTCTCACAGTCCAAGAGGCAGGGCGAGCCGGCGGGGCCAGCTGAGTTTAGATGAGTGCTGCTGGCGCTTCCTCATCCAAGCCGCTGTGTGTGTGTGTTAATCACTCAAACCTTGTGTGTGTGTGTGTGTGTGTTTGCCAGCACACCTTCCCGCCCTCTTTACACACACTCACACACTGTGCTGAATGGAAGTGCAGATGTCAGGTCTTCAGTCTAAATAAGGCAAAGGAGACTATAATATATTGGCCACCTGCTGCTCTCTCTGTACTCTGTGGACTTTAAACATTTCCTATGCAGTTTTTTGGTTGTTTTTTGTTTACACTTAAATAAAGTTGTATTTCTTTGACTTCAAATCTTGCGACTCTTCACTTTTCTCTTACACCGAACAAATGCTCATTTTCAGGAGTGTTTAACTCTGCTGACGTCTGACAGAATATCTGTATAGTTTCAGAAGATCAGTTGTATTTAGTGCTGCATTCACACTCCTGGGGTTTTAAATGCTACAATTGATGCAGACTGGTGACAAGGTAAATGGAAAACCTAAATAAACAAGAGGAGAAACACATCGACTGCAGATGCGTGTACAATTACACAACAAATAGCTGTGTGGTATGTACAGTGTGAAAGGAGGTCCAGCTGATTCTGATTCTGTATCAAGCTGACATGAGGAAAAGGTTAAAATGGCTTTGAAGGAGGTAGAGGAGGTTAATCACAAAGACTGGCCAACTTGCTCATGTTTCAGTAGGAACAGCAAGAGTCGGCCATCAACAAATTACATGATTGCAGAAACAAGGCATTGGAGATGTGGAAACATGTGAAATGGTCGTATGAGCTGTCGTTCACCATGTTCTGAGCAAATGGGGGAGCGCTTATGTACGTACACCAAGAGACCGAAACCTTAACGCCTACAGTGAGGCATCTCAACCCAGTTGACACCAAATGGGAAATTATCAGTTTTTTTTTATAAAACGGTGCTCATCCTTTCAGTTCCAGAGATGTAGAGAATCAATTCTAAGGAGCATTGAAGCTGTTCTGACCTTGTGTGTTTGCACACATAGTCATAAACCCATGTTCATCCAAATATTAAGAGTGATATCTCCTATTTTATTTCCACAGCGTTTCATTTTACAGAGATGCACCACTCAGTCTGGTTGGTTGTTTCCTGATGTAGAGGGTACGTAAGGCTTTCAGCGGCTCACCTTACTTTTTTTCCTTTGACAGTCTGAGTTGACACAGTGAACGGCTAAACCTGCTCCAGGCACAAAAACACACCTGGTGTTGCCTCATAACTGGTTTGGACAGTCACTGGTTTCACTGGGGGATGGATGGATG